ATTTCTCGCTTTCTGTCTCTATGTCTCTCTCTGTCTGTCTGGCAAGTGCACGCGCCCTATAGTGAAAACCCCTCCAAAAAAAAAAAAAAAAGATTTTAAATGAAAGATTGAAAGCAAAAGGAATTCTTGCAGTATACAAATTAAGGCTCTTACAAAATGTGCATGTTTAAGTATATAGTTGCTTGGACAGTTTATTAAAAAAAGTTTCAGATTTGCTTTCACCCTTCTTGCCACTTTTTTGGGGGGATTGTAACAGGATGATTTAAAGTGGCTTTCTGGGGCCAGCTGATGGTATAGTGGTTACGTCACTGGACTCCCACATGGTTGACTACAGTTTGAGTCGCAGCCCCAGGGACTTGAAAATCATGCTGGGTGTGTGTGTGTGTGTGTGTGTGTGTGTGTGTGTGTGTCTGTCTGTCTGTCCAAGATCCAGGAAGGAATTGAATGAAGAAGAAGGGACTGTAGCGTGGCCATCCCCCTGGAGGGCGATTACTCATTTTATCTCCTACTATCTCTGTGTCTCTCTCTCTCTGGTGAGTGCACCTTTTTCTCCTATTATCTCTGTGTCTCTCTCTCTGGTGAGTGCACACATCATAAAACAAAAACCTCTTAAAAAATAAATTAAAGTGACTTTCAAAGTTGACAAAATATACATGTTCGTAGGTAGTCCAGTATGGGAACAGTACTCAACTGTCTCATCCAGATCAAAATTTTACGGTATTTTTTATAAAGTTTTCATTAAGATCTAAAAGGTTTACTGAAAGGTAAATTCTCATGGGAAACCTAGACAGTCATTTGATTTTTTCTTTCATAAACGGTACCATAAGGGTCAGTCAGCTGTGGAGAATATCAAGTAGGGATTTCTATTTGCATCCTGGAATGCACATAACCCTTCCTAGCAGCCATCACAGCATGTAGAGAACATTCTCTGCAGAAGCAGAAATAACCTCAGTCTGGAACCTCCTGCCTGCATAGGGTGCATTTAGGAGTCTTCCTAGGGGATTGGGAGTAGCAGGTTGGAAATCCTGACCTTTTGCAACCATCCCCGAAGGGCTTCCTGACTTCTCTACCCAATGGGGTAAGGATAAAAGGTAATGGGGTGGGGGTAGGAGGTGTCTTCAAAAAGTTCATGAAAATGTGTATTGTTCAAATACTATGCATTGATTTAAAATATTTTTGCACAAAAATAAACTCATATCTTAAACTGATTTTTTTTTTGATAAATCATTAGAAGTTTCCTTGTGTGTCGTCTTTTTATTGATGAGATGAAAGCTACTAATTTCTAAGAGGTCAGACACTTTCTAAGTGCTTTCCATGGATTGAATTTGATGCTCATTATAACGTAGGAGGTAGATGCTGTGATATAAGCCTCTTCTCCTTTACAAATGAGGAGAGTGAAGCATCCAGAAATTAAGTAATTCAGACAACGTTATATAGCTAGAAAGGAAAGCTTGACTCCACAGCCTAAACTTTTCTTTTTTTTTTTGAGAGGTTTTTGCTATAGGGCGTGTGTGCTCGCCAGAGAGACAGAGACAGAGAGACAGAAAGTGAGAAATCACTCCCCAGGAGGGGATGGCCATGCTGCAATCCCTTCTCCTCCGTTCTCTTCTCGGGATGTTGGGCACGCACGCACATGCGCCCGCTGTGAGTTTTTTTTTTTTTTCTTTTATTGGAGAGATTTTTGCTATAGGGTGTGTGCACTCCCCAGACAGACAGACAGAGCCAGACAGACAGAAAGTGAGAAATCACCCCCCAGGGGGAATGGCCACGCCGCAATCCCTTCTCCTCCATTCTCCTCTCGGGATCCTGGGCACGCACGCACACGCGCCCAGCATGAGTTTAAGCCACCAGGTCTGGGACTTGAACCACAGTTGACTATGTGGGAGTCCAGCGACATAGCCATTACGCTAACTGCTGGTCCCCTGGTGTGAGTTTTTTAAGCCACTGGGTCCAGGACGTGAACCACGGTCGACTACATGGGAGTCCAGCGACATGGCCATTACACTAACTGCTGGTCCCTCACAGCCTAAACTCTCAATCACTGTCTCCTCTGTGATATGAAATACCTTTTCAAAGACTGATTGGTTGGAGAAGTGTACAAAAAAGGAAGAAATCCCCCATACTGGCCACTTAGCCAGTTGATGTACCAGCTCCGTGAGGGCCCAATCAGCGTGTACTGTAGTTCCATGAATCCTGGGTAGACACGGCCCTCAAGTTTGACATTGTAGCAGGTCCAGAGAAGAGTAAAGCCTGAGGAGGATGCTGATGAGCAGGAGGAGGATAAAAGAGGGGCAGGGGAAGGATAAAGAAGCAAGGCAGGTTCCGAAGGTATGGCATAGTTGCAGTCATCCTCGGAACTTTGCTGCCCACGAAGAATCCACAGCAATAGTGGGTTTAGCTGAGAAGTAAGAGGTAGTGGGCTGGTCCCATAGCCTAGTGGTTGAGGGAGCCATATCCCAGATGGACAATCCTACTTATAATCCCAGCTCAGGTGGCTTGAAATCAAGCCAAGCATGTGTACGTGAGTGTCCAACATCCCTACAGGATGGAGAAATGGAGAAAAGGGATTGCAGTGTGACCATGCCCCACTGGGGTTGCTTTCTCCCTCTGTCTCCCTCTCTCTCTTTGCCTTTTTTTTTTTTTTTTTTTTGGGAGGTTTTTTCGCTATTTTTTTGAGAGGTTTTTGCCATAGGGTACGTGTGCTTGCCAGCCAGCCAGAGACAGAAAGTGAGAAATCACCCCCTAGGGGGGATGGCCATGCTGCAATCCCTTCTCTTCCATTCTCCTCTCGGGATCTTGGGCATGCACGCACATGCGCCTGGAGTGAGTTTTAAGCCACCGGGTCCGGGATGTGAACCGCGGTCAACTACGTGGGAGTCCAGCAACATAGCCAGCTAACTGCTGGTCCCTTGTCTTTGTCTTTCTCTGGCATGCACAAGTGCCCTCTGTTAATTAAAAAGAAAGAAAGAAGAAAATATGGCTCATATGCATTATGAGCCATAAAAGGGGAATGGAGGGAGAACCAGAGCTCTGCAAACTACACAAAACTGAAATGAGGCCCCTAGTCATAATTCACAATTAATATTTAATTTTCATGTGCAATTTTTAACAGTAATTTAGTTAACAGCTAGAATCTATATTTTAAGGATAAATGTACTGTACGACAATTTTATTTTCAGCATTTTAACTGCAACCTTGGCCAGCATCTTTAAGAACCTTGGATTTGTCAGTCTTTGAAATTCTCTATGTGAAAACACTACTTTTCATTTGGCTTTGGGAAAAAAATCTTAAATAAATTCTGGATCCTCTAAAACTAATCTCAACTTGAATCATTAGTTCTGGCATTCTGTTAGCATGCCTCAACAAATTTTTTGAAAAAAATAGAAACAAGGAAAAATTAAACAGTCCATTGGCCCTTTTGAAAAAGCAATGTAATACACTGTAAAGTTATATGTAATCCAATGTAATATAAAGAAGATTATGATAATAAAAAACAAACAAACAAACAAACAAACAAAACAGTCCATCGGGCAGTTCACTTTGTACTAGTGAGTTACTCCAGCCTGTGGGCAAATCTTCCAGCCAGTTGAGTTATATTTTCCCTTATTATCTTTTTCTATGTCTTCCTCTAAAAACGTGTTTTCCAATTGTTGTACATTAATTTAAAAACACAAAGAACCAAATCTTTTGCAAGCCAAAACACTGATTACATGTTTACTTTTAACCTATTTCGGTTAACTTTTGGATACATATTTTGTACAACATTATTTTTTCCAGATGTGAGAGAGAATTATTCTTCCCTTTTGTACTCCAAGCATAGTTAGGAGACCAGGTTGGTATTTTTCTCTCATTTTGCTTATTCCAAATTCATAAACTAATTTGGTTTTCAATAAAATCTACAGCAAATGTAATTCTATTACAAAGTTTAAGAACAGAACTGGAAGTAGCTGATCTTAAAGATTATTTTTTTGTCTAAGTTAACTAAAGTATACAATGAATATGCCACAGTACAGAAATTATATTATTTACATTCTACAAATTGCAAATATTTGAAATACATAATTATGTTAAAATACATAGCATAGTCAGACCATAGGATATTATTCAGCACTTCCAATTCACATTGATAAAATTATTTTGGAAAATTGATTTTTTTGTCATGTTTTTAAAGTTGAAACTCTTTCTTTACTTTTTTTGAAAAAAATTCCCCTCCAAAAAAACGAAAAAAAAAACCCCAGCATATTAATGTCCAGAATTACTTAGTTAAAATAAGAAGTTAACTTGAATTTTGTTAATAACTAACATATAATTATTTAGAGATAATCAATTTACTGAACATTATTTAAAATTTAATTTCGTAACTATTTTGCCGCATGTATTACAAAGGAAAAAAATCAACAAACTTTATAACTCCATGGTTTTTAACTTGTAGTTTATAATTATATATCATCCAAGTTAAAACTGATTACTTACCTTAGAGATATTAAAGGCACCCTGGGTATTAACTGCCGAGCCCTAAACTCTAGCTGAGACGGTAACGTTTCAAACTTTCCTGTTACTTACAGCCTGAGAGTAAAGGATTGAAGCTTCACTCACTATGCCTGGAAGAACAGATTCTCACGTGTTTGGCCATGTCTCGTGTTTCATGCCCTCATATTAGCAACAGCATGTCTAATTTTACTCAGTGACATAAACAGCTCATACCACACTTAAAATTGTTTGGGCACCAATTCCAGGACTCAGCTCTCAGGGTGCCAAAACAAAACAAAACCAAAAAACCCCTAAGCCATTCTTACAAAACCAGCATTCCAATATTTAAACCCTGAATCATGAGAGTTTATATAACTTTCTAAAATAAACATGACCTCAAATGAATGGCAATAAAGTTCCGAGACTATTTTCTGATCAACTCTAATGTTGACACAAATCTTTGAAAAATCCTTTCACATTAATATGCAATATTTAGATCGTGTGACTTTACTACATGTATACTATTCTCATCAAAATAAACGGTATATTATCCTACAACAGTCACTCTTTAAATATCACAGAAACTTCTTTAAAAAACTGTTTTTCTAGAAGTGTATGCACTTGCCAGAGAGAGATAAAGAGGGAGAGGAGAAAGAGTTCCCATTGGGAATGGTCACGTTGCAATCTCCTCTCTATTTCTCCATTCTGTCAGGATTTTGTTCCCCCCACACACGGGTCCACAGTTTCTCAAGTCGCCCAGTCCAGGACTTGAAACGTGGGGTCTGCGGGACCTGGATGACTCTTTTTAAATAAAAAATTTTAATCGTGAAGAAGAAAAATCTTAAGTAATGATGATCATGACAGAAAGGAAACAAACTACATGTTTAAATGACAGGTATTTTTCCTTGGGATTTTTTTCCCACAGGGTGCATGCACTTGCTGGAAAGACAGAGAGAGACAGAGAGACAGGAAGCAAGAATTCACCCCTGATATGGCGATGCCGCAATCCCTTCCCCTCCATTCTCCTCTTAGGATTTTGAGCACACATGCGCATGCACCTGTCATGAGTTTCACACCGTCAGATCTGGGACTTGAACCACAGTTGACCATATGGAAGTCCAGTGCCTTAACCACTATGCCATCTGCTGGACCCAATGACAGTTCTTTTTAAATAAATAATAATTATATCAAACTTAACAAATTATGCAAATGCAATGGTGTGATTATACATTGTCTTTACTGTTATTTTAAAATAATCAGTTTTTATAACATGTAAAGAAAACAGAATAAATATCAAACTTACTCTTTAGTTTTGTATTACTTTCATGTAGCTTGGTTTACATTATGAATTAAAACTGATGAAATTATATTTAAAATTTGTATTTTAATACTAAGCCTGGAATATAAGAAGCTAGAAAATAACACATATGCTTAATTTTTATTTTATCCTCATCTTAGGAGATATTTTCTCTTTATTCTGCTTATTCATACTCTAACTTCTTTTGAAATTTGATGCTCTGTCACATCAACAGCTGCAAGTCTTAAATTAAAAGCTGATACAACTTCAAGTAGTCAAACATTTATAAGACATTCAAACCATTAAACCAGACATAAATTAAAACTTTTAACTGATATAAAATAGCTGTACATGTTTATGGGTGTAGTGTGATTTTTCAATACGTGAACTCTGTGTAAGGATCAAAGCACAACAACAAACGTACGCAACAGCTCAAACATTTATTATTACTTTGTACTGTGAATATTTGAAACTCTCTGTTCCAGCTATTTTGAAATACACATTAATTTGTCACCAACCATAGTTACTTCACTGTGCTGTAGTACTCATTCCACTTACCCACTTGCAACTCTGTATCTGGGGACCAAGTTCCTATTCTCTTTCATTGTTCCCCTCCTCAGCTTCTGGTGTCCACCTTTCCACTACCCACTTCGATGAAATCAAATCTTTTCATTTCATGAGTTCTCTGCACACCAGGAACAGGGAATTCCTGACAGTGAGCAGTCAGTTTGGTACTAAACACTTATTTTTGACATAAAGTAGTAAGTAAGGCTACCTGTGGAGGAAGAGTAGAGTGATAGATAGGAGATGAGATTTTTTTGTACCATGGTAATCAAGTTGAACATAGACAGTGAGTGGTCAGTTTGGTACTAAACACTTTTATTTTTGACATAAAGTAGTAAGTAAGGCTACCTGTGGAGGAAGAGTAGAGTGATAGATAGGAGATGAGATTTTTTTGTACCACGGTAATCAAGTTGAACAGAAAATTACAGTACCACTATCCATTTTTGCACAAAAACATCTAATAAATGAAACATAATGATATGGGGGTCAGCAGGTGGCACAGTGGTTAAAGTGCTGGACTCTGATAAGGTCAACCATGGTTTATGTCCTGGATATGGTTGTTTGAAAATCACACTGAGTATATGTGTATGTGTGCTCCAAATCCCAAGAGGAGAATGGAGGAGAAGGGATTGTGGTATGGCTATCCCCATTGGGAGAGGGGTGATTTCTCACTCTCTCCGTGTCTCTTTCTGTCTCTCCAGGAAGTAAATGCAACCTATAGCAAAAATCTCTCCAAAAAAATGATAGATTTTTGTTATCACTGTGTGTCTAAACTCCTAACTCAATATTCTGGTTGAAATGTCACACATTGAAAGGTTACATGCTGAAAGACCTTTTAATCAATCCGCAAATAGATTTTGGAGCAATGAACTTTTCATTGTTTTGGAGACTGCTCTGTAAAAATTAGTCAAGTTATATATTTGATCTCTATTCACATTTACAGATTTATTTAAACTTTCAACATTGACTTTTAGTACTCCAGGAGAATGGTTTAAGCTTTTATTTTTAGGTTAGTTGAACTTATTAAAATAAGATCTTCAAAAATAATTTTTTTTGGAGAGGTTTTTGCCATAGGGCATGTGCACTTGCCAGAATGACAGACAGACAGAGAGACAGAAAGCAAGAAATCACCCTCCAGGGGGTTGGCCATGCCACAATCCCTTCTCCATTCTCCTCTGGAGATCTTGAGCACGCATGCACATGTGCCTGGCATGAATTTAAGCCACCAGGTCTGGGACTCAAACCGTGGTTGACTACATGGGAGTCCAGTGACATAGTCATTATGCCATCTGCTGGTCCCAAGATCTTCCAAAAAAAATTTTAAGAGGAGGTTTATGCTATAGGGCGTGTACGCTTGCCAGAAAGACAGAGAGAGACAGAGAGACAGAAAGCAAGAAATCACCCTCCAGGGGGTTGGCCATGCCACAATCCCTTCTCCATTCTCCTCTGGAGATCTTGAGCACGCATGCACATGTGCCTGGCATGAATTTAAGCCACCAGGTCTGGGACTCAAACCGTGGTTGACTACATGGGAGTCCAGCAATATAGCCATTACACCAATTGCTGGTCCTGATCTTCAAAAACGTTTCAAAGTTTATTTATGTCTTCCATGAGTGAGAGAGAAAGAGAGAGAGAGAGAGAGCAAGAGAGAGAGAGAGAGACACCAATGCTAAGATGATTAGAATCTTGACAGCATAGTCTATCCCCAGTCTCAGAGAGCTCTGGATCATGGGCAAAGGTCCGTGGGGTAGTCAGGGAGGTCTCTGGATGTGAACCAAGAATCTTTTCAGGTGAGTCAGCTGTACAGACTGTCATGTGAAGTCTTTTTTTTTTTCCACCAGAGGTGAAACATTTTTATTTTATGATGGTCTTTAAAATTGCAAAGACACTATTTTCTTCGTATAAAAACATTAGTACAGATAGCTATACTTTCTAGAAAATGATTATATAGACCCTTGCAAAGAAAAACGCTCTCCATTATATCTCCATGGTGAGGTTGCTTGGAAAAAACCCACATCTCAACTGATTCCTATGACATACTATTCTAGTACTCTGTATTGTTTGGTTCGAAGTATAGATTACTATCATCATCACTGTAATCATATGTTCCTGCTTTCTTACATGTTTGATAATACACATATAGACAGGTTGATCACTTAATGTTCCATTGGTTCATCAGTCTTTTCTGCAGGTTCATCAGCAGATTGGGCAGACTGTGCCTTTTTCTGTGGTCTTTCTTTAAGGCCTTCCAGGAATGGAGACATGTCATTGTCATCATAGATTGTAAACTCCAAGTCTTTACAACAATTCCAATAGAAACCTTTTTTGTAGTTAGGTCCTGCTCTGCACAAAGAGTCTCTTAAGGCATGCAGACCATGTTTAATTAGTTCATTCAAATTACAGTCCATAAACTCAGACATATGTCTCTCCAAGTAAGTACTGAGAACGAGCTCCAATGGACTTAGCTCTGCAGTCACAATAGTTAGCAGATGGACAAGTTTGGAAATGTGAGGGCCCATATCATCACAACCATAAATGAAGCTTTTAATGTAGGTCTAGGCTAAGTTTTTAATTTATATACACACATCTGATGTGTTTTCAATGGAATTAGAACTTAAGCTACAGGGGAACTTAAAACCAGTCTAACACTCACCTAGGTGTAAAATAACTTCTTCCAGGTTACATAGTTAAGAAAGGCTTGAGAAGAGACTTTCAAAGTCCCTGGGTCTAATATTACCATTGGTACCTGGATGCTCTGCTACAAACATGCTTCCTGGCATACACATGTATCTCTAATCCTTTCTAGGTTTCACCCTCATTCTCCCACTGTCCCCTTCTTGACTACTACCATCAACAATTAGCTCTGGCCCCTGCTCCTGGCTTCCTCTCATTCAACCCTACCTCCGCCTGGGCCCTGATAACCCTGCTGCTGGCTGCATAGCTTAAGATGTTGGGTTGAGCTGATCACTTTCAGAACTGGTGAAAATAGGAATTCCTGGCAGTGAGAAGTCAGTTTGGTACTAATCACTTTTATTTTTGACATGACGCGTAAAATAAAGTTATCTATGAATGTGATAAGGAATGAGATAGTTCAAAGTTAGAAAAGAATACAGAGAAGTTTAAAGTAGTTGCCACAGAAAGTTGGGTTGCATTACTTTCTACTGAAACATGTTAAGCCATGTTCATGGCCCAGTCTAAGTTGATGAACATGAGGGGTTTTCAAAAAGTTCATGGATGGGCTAGCTTGGTGGTGCAGTGGGAACACACTACCCCACAATCATGGAGCCACATGGAAGATCAGGGA